TGTTCTATCAAATAGGAAGCATTACTTCCAGAGCAACATGCATATTACTAAATAAAACAGAAATTCATCATTTATGAGCACACCAGCCTAATAACAAATTAACCAAAATTAACCAAAACTCCTGCCCTCTTGTCTTAGCTTAATAAAAGGCAGGTGAAAGTGATCAGGTTACTTTCTCTCTCAATTTCTACAACCACGTAAGGCTTGGTTCAGCCACAGCACATTCAGTACTTGGGACGTCAGTCCACATGGAGCCACTTTATCTCCAGCACCACTCACTACTGTCAAGCTCTCAAGACTGCAAACACTGACTTACAGCTGTCTGTGCAACCTTAATTCCCTTTTATGCTTTCCTTCCATATGTATCGTTGAGCAAAAGCCTGCTAAGAAGAAAAATGAAAGCAAATGCTGCTACGTCAATAAAGAAAGCCTCAGGTACATAGGAACTATAAATCTTGCATTTCCCAACTGCACCATGCACAAGGACACTGTGCTGAGTACGCTTTTGGTAACAGTCTGCTATGCAGCTCTGATAACCTGTTCCTTTCCAAGCATCCTCATGGTTTCAGCACAACACGCTCACTGTGGCTGATTGCAGCACTGATTTCTCTGCCCTTTGCTCTTTGAGTCTGAAGGTTTCTGTCCTGCCAGGTACGGAGGTGTGATGGGCACAGCCGAGCCCAAAGCAGCTGTGTCAAGCTTCCAGCACCATGCATCTACATTCCTCAGCATCATGGACAAAAAGTGATTTATTCCCATAAGTACTGGGTGCAAATAGGTAACTCTTAGCTGGAAAATGGCAAACTACAACAAATGACGTTAAAAAATAAGTACTTTTATCTTCATGTTGATTTTGATCAGAGAACAGAAGTGTGCTGACTGTTCCTCAGGGCTGCCCGTGTGCCTCTGAGAAGTGGGAACAAGGAAGTGGTGTTTACTTTCTCTGTTATGGATTCTTCAGCCTCACAGGAGAGATTACTGCTGCTTCTGCAGACAGAGGATATCTGCTCACCCACATCAAGGACTTGCTGCAGAAACCAGAAGGCGGACATGCTCTACAAACACCACACAACACCTTCAGCTAGTACAAAGGGACCAACACAAATGTGTAATTTCACGTGACAAGCAACGCGCAGAGATTAGCAACACCTACGAGACAAAACGTCACGGAAATACAAGAGTAGGATCTACAAAAGCCTAGCAGGCGCGCTTCGAGCTGAGAACCGGGACCGGCCGCCAGGAAAGCGACCCAAGGAACCAGAACAGGACGGCACAGAGCCACGCCGAGCCGAACGACTCCCACCGCAAGGCGGCCCGCCGCAGCAGCGAGCCGCCGGGATCCCACCGGCACATCGCCCCGCGGGCAGCGCGCACAGCGGGCCGGGCCGGCGTCGCGCAGCGGTACCGGCGGCCGCTCCGCCTCGGCCGCGCGTCGAACACCGGGCCGCAGCCGGCGAGAGCCGCCCGCAGCACAGCGCCCGCGGGAGCAGCGGCACGCGGAGCTACGGCCGAGCGCTTCCCCGCGTGCAGGTGGGCCCGCCGGGCGGCCGAACGCCTCGGGGACTCGCGGACGCCGTTCGGCACCGCGCAACTCCGCCGCTCGGGAAGCGCTGCGCGCACCGGCACGCAACCGACCGACCGCGCGCGAGGCGCCGCCCGGCCCCGCAGCACGGCCGCCCGCCCCTCGGCCCCCGGAGGGCGGCGCGGCCCCGCGCACCTCCACCAGCTCGCAGTGCCCGGGCACGAAGCGGATCTTGAGCTCCTTCTCGCGGCCCACCATGGCCGCCGCGCGCAGCCCCCCGGGCCCTCCGCCTCCTCCGCTGCGCCGCCGCTGCCGGCGGACGTGCGTGCCGCGGGACGCGCCCTCACAGGGCCGCGCCCGGCGCAGGGCAGCGCGGTGCCGCGCGCTGATTGGCTGAAGCGCCTTAAAGGGGCCGAGAGCGGCGACACGGCGGGGAGAGGGCGCCGCTGATGGCGGCGGGGCTGGGGTCTCATTTTGTCCTGCGGGAACCTCGGAACGGGGGAAGCAACGCCAAGGCCGCCGCGCAGGGGGCACAAATTAAGTGTAAAGTGCTCCTTTTAGTCCTGTTCCATGTTTCTAGGACGAGTTACTCTTATATAAGGACTACATGCAGTATCGACTTCCATCCTTTTTGCCATGTTTTTAAAATTAGGCTATACTACTTAAGCTCCTTGTAGTGAAATCATAAATACCTACTCGATTACAGCCCACAGAGTAGTCCTGTGAGCACAACGCACCTAGAGATGACTAGAGCACTCTCCCACGCTGTAATTACAGAACCGAGTGCTAGTTGTTTTCTCTTTCTCCTCCCTTGCAGTCCAGCACTGAAGTACAGCAGCAATCCTTCCCTCCCACCGCCCAGCACCTTACCTGCCCCGGTTCAGCCAGCACTTCAGGCATGACCTCAGGAGGAGTTACCAGACAGGGCAGCGATTGCACCTTTCTCTGCTTTTGTCTGCAGAGAGCACATGGAGTGAAAGGAGCAATAGCTCAGTTGACCTTTCAAAGCAGGACTCTAATCCAAGGCCCATCACGTGTAGGTCTGAATCCTATTGAGCTTTGTTTGCTTTCCACTAGCACCATTTAAGCTGCTCGGTGGGATCATAGTAACAGCAGCATAAGCAAGTGCAACCACTGCACAATTCACAGCTTTCCTGCCCTTTTCCATAGAATCAAGGACAGAAAAGAGCCCCAAGGGCAGCAGCTTCCTCCTTTACCACTTACACATGTGGTCCACACTATTTATTCACATTTTCAAGCTAAAAGGAAAAACTGCCACTGCTTTAAAAATCAGGTCCCAAACATTTCTTAGAGTTGCTCTTAGGCTCCCTGTTTAAAGCATGCTCTTAGTTGCTTAATAAGGATTTAAAATGGACTTAAGCAAAGATGCCAATTAGGGTAGAAAGCTTTAACCATTGAGGCACACAAAAAAGCACCCCTGCAATACCTGCAGTACTTCACTGCACTTGCTATGTTTTTGCCCTTGGACAAACTTAGGTTAACATAACATAGAACACATACATCTAAAAAAACCTGCATTAATTCAGTACCATCATCTCCTTTCTCGTGCTTCCTCGAGCCTTTCATTAACATTCACTTGCCTTCATCCCTTGAAATAAAAGACTAGTTTACAGAACTGGAAACACTTGTTTTTGTCAGGGTTTTTCCACCAGCTTTTTGCTTTCTGGTTTAGAACAGCATTTTTACTTTGGAAATAACCTTTGGTGTAGCCTACCTGAGCAAGTAGGCAAGCATCAGCAACCTTGCATGAAATAATGCTATTCCGAGACAAAGGCCCTCATGTAGTATCATCACACATTGCCTGAGCTCTTCCATTTTCAGTTGTGTTTTACAGATTTCTCCCCAGCCCTGTTACTCTTTGCACTGTTGCTCACAGACAGCATAGTCTAACCAAGTACCTCACCACATGCACTGCTGATAGGTGTACAAGAGTACTTAACACAACAATTCCTACAAAGACCATCAAGTAAGATGGCATCAGTTCACAGAATGGCCAGGCTTGGAAGGTACCTCAAGGATCATGAAACCCCAACCCCCCTGCCACATGCAGGGCCACCAATCTCCCCATTTTCACTAGACCATACTGCCCAGGGCCCCATCCTGCGTAGATTTCTTTCACTCCATTGACAGAGCTGCTTTTCAGAGAACAAAGCTAAACAAAACTAGCTAGCTTTGTTTTCCTCCACTCTGAGAACCCTGATACTCTGAAATTCTTAAGTTCCTCATTAAAGTAACTCTATGCTTCAGAAAAGCTCCTACATTGCAAGCTATATTTTTCTAAGTTGAAACTTGCCAGTTTAATCCTCCTCTTCAGAAGTTCAAATAACAGAGCAAACACACAAAGATGGCATTAGCTACCAGATCAACATACTTCCTTAAACTTAAACGCATTTTCGATATCATCTTTTCTCAGTACCCCATAACCTTGTGGTGTCAGTTTAAATACCTCAAGGTGTGTACACTGCAGCACCCACATACAAGACAGGAATGCATACTATTACCAAAAGCAGTTCCACGTTTCACTTCAGTTCCATTACTTCTGTAATGATAGAAATTCACAGGAAGTGAGATAAGGGATTTGCAAGTCTCATACGATGTGCATTTCAACTGAATAGTTTCTTCTGTATGGTTAGAAAACCTTAGAAAACCTTGTCCTTCAGGCAAGACTGACAATGAGTTCTGTTGTGAAGATTTAAGTTCTCAACACTAGGTCATTTGATTTTGGTTTTCATCTCTTTACAAAAGGACAAAGACAAAACATCATTGGAAATTTTTATTCTAAAATACCCTTGATTTTTGATGCATTTCAACACATTACTTCCACCTTGCCAAAAACACAGTTCTACACAACCAATGTGTAGTGGGCATCCTCTCACTCAAACCAAGTTCTGTTAGTATTCTCTTTCACATGAGATCAGCTAAGACAGACAGCTAAAATGACCACAACAATAGGTCTTGTGAGTACAGCATCTGTAGAACAAACTTCCCTTAAGACACTTATCTGAGCCACATGATACAAACATTTAGGTGGACAAAGCAGTCGTTTTGAGTTTGACCTGAAAATCCTTTTCAGAGTTGCATTATCCAGCCCCAGGAATGAAGTTAATATGTCTTAAATATGGATCCCATTAAAAATATCTATGCCAACCACAATATAGTTTTTACATTTGTTCTATGTTACATAAGCCACAAAGAAAAAAGGGTTTTCATTTCTGCCATTGTTATCAAAGCAACCATAACCAGCAAAATTTATTAAATAAACTGCAGAAGCTCAATAATTACAAAATAGCATTCACAAATGCATGTTTTGTCATCCTTTTTCCCCCAATGATTATTCACCTTCTCTGAACTCAAGCTGACCTGTTGAAAACTGAATAGCTTCAGAGAACAAAGCAAGTCAAACAATGGCAGTTATGGTGGTATTAACAGTAATCTGGAACATACCAGTTATGCTGTCTTCAAGTAAGAGTATGACCAAGTAGTTTCTTGGAAAATTGATTGCTTTTTTTTAAATCACTTCCCAAGTAATCATACCAATGTCTATTACAGATGGCAGCCAAGTTCATCTTGAACAGTCAGTTGAAATCTTCTGCAGTACGTGAGTATATTGGTAATGTTTTTCTCAACAGTGAGAAGAGACTAAACTTTGTTTCTATTACCTGCAAGGAGAAACATCACTGAGTTGGTGTTTTGCACTATTGCTCCCTCCACACTGACTAGATATTTGTCTGGTGGGGGAGAGGCAGGCACCAGATGCCACCTAACAGGCAAGACTGTTTCCAACACTGAAACGTATATTCTGAAGTGAAGGTATAGTTGAGATTAATTGCTTCTTCTCTTTCCTAGTCTGCTTCCCTTTTTGCACCCCTTTGCTCTTGCCATTTTTCACCTATAGGCCTTTTACTTTTACCTGTACACCTACAGCAAGATAAGGTCCTGCAAGGTAGCAGCTAAAAAAGAAGGGCTCAGACATCTGGTTGAATCCTTTTATTCCTGCTGCTCTTGTAAGAGGTAGTGCTCACTACAGCAGGTAAGCTGCGAGAAGAATGTTAGTGGGTGACAGTCATAAGCAGGATAATTAGGTTCAAATCTTACAATATCACATCAACTACTTGACCCTCCAGAATCCACTTCTCAACATCAAACAAGCTTTGTTGTCTGACTTCAAATATATATCAGGTTAAAACAACAAAGGCTAGGAGGTGCAGTGGCAAAGAATGCACTGGGAAGACAACACAGCTGTAGCCTCCAGTATCTGCTGTGAAATACAATGTGCCACCCCCTTCATTACCCAATGAGGTACACTGAGCAAGACTCTCTCTCTCTTTTGGATATGTGTAAGATACACAAGGACTTAGTTAAATGAACATCCATGCTTACCTTCTTTAAAAGGAGTTTTTGGAGGAATATTTTCCTTGGTATCATGCTGGAAAGCTTTAGAAGGATCGAAATGCCTAATGCCCTGAATTGTATATAGTTGCTCCTGCAGATCTCTGTTTGTTTGTTTCTCTTTTGCAAGTAGTGCACGCAGTTTTGAAATGTCCTGAAGAAAATAATACTCAGAAATTAGATGAAAAATAGTAGGAAAGATAACACTGTATATTGTGTACCCAATGCCAACAGATCCCCTTGCTGTTCTGGAGACTGATGGCCTATTCTAAACTAGCTCAAACAGGGAAATTAACAACTACAGGAAACAGAGTTTGCAGAATTAGCCTACAAGAATTTGGAGGGTTTAGCAGAAGAGAGCAATCAAGCAAACAATTAAGTTTACCATTTTTAACTTCTTATTTGACAAACCTGCTGCAGGTGGGTATTATCTTCCTTCAACTTCATAACATGCTTGATTTTTTGTTTCTGGTTTTGGTGGCCAAGTAGTTTAGCATATGCTTCACTTAGTTTATTCAGTTCTTCTTGAGCTGCACCTTGCTCATTTAGAAGAGCATTTTTCTCTGCTTCAAATGCATCTAGTTGTTGCTGAAATAAATAGTACGTTTAACAGAAATTGAACTTGAGTGTTTTAGTTTCCCCAACTACACTCTTTCTCCCAGACTGAGACTTGCAAGCACAAACAATGGTTTGGAAAGGGAAACAACTGTCTCAAGGGACATTAACTTAAGAAAACGCTGCAGGATAAACGCCTTCAAGTGGAGAAATACCATATTTACTTCTCAAGAGCAGAACTTGACTCAACCACACAAATATTAACAAGATACCAGTGAGAACTGACTTCCTTACACACCTGAAAAGGCTTAGTTTTGTTATGCAGTTCTTCATATAGATTACGCCAGGTCTTTATCTCTTCTTTTAAGCTAGAGATCACATCTTCATGTATGGTTTTCCTAAGAAACAAGAAGTAGAGTTGCATCATTTTCTCTATTAGCTTTTAGCAAGTCTTCCCACTGTGGTATGCTGCAATACCCAAGTTTAGCTTCAGAGAAGTCACCTTGATTTTTCCACTTCAGATTTTTTTTTCAGATCTTCAGTTAACTCTTCCAGTTTTTCCTGTAGTTTTGTCACTTGCACGAGGCAAGACTCTTTTGTTCTCTCTGCTTCTGCTTCTTTTAGCGCAAGCTTTGTCTGGGCTTCTAAAATCATCCTAATGAAAACATAAGCCATCTTTCATGAAGCCCAATTAAACATCTTCAGATTAAACTTAAAATTATATAAAATAAAGCTGTGAAAACAATATTCACCACATTCAGAAGCTGTTTCTGGAGTAACTGAAATTAAGATTTGTACTAACAGTACATTAAGATAGAAATATCATACAGAAAACTCTCGAATTCAAGACCTACAGTCTAGCTTCTAGAAGGATACTGTCTTTTGAATGCCAGGCAACTGTATGTTTCTTTATTTATTACTGTAAAGCATTAGCAATTTCTAATGAAAGATAGCTAGCTAGCTAGACTTCAGCACAGGTTTATTCAAGCAGTGTGGATGACTTCCAAGAATTTTCAAGTTCCCTAATACACTGCTTTGCTTCTCTTACCTCAACTATTCATTGCACCATCTACATAGATATTAAGAATCCTTTTCCTGCCAGTCTGCCATGACCAAGTCAAATAGAAAGCAACTCCTCAGCTTTTTTTAATAATTAAGACAACAAGCCAAACAATTCCCACAACTCAAATAGAAACTGGAGAAAATAACAAGCAGCTGGGGGGGGGGGGGAAGACGACACCTTAATCAGTAAAAGTGTTCTGAAATAAGTTGGAGCAAGCTATGATTCTGTTCTGGATAACCAAGGCTACAGGTAAACAAGACAGCAGAAACTTTACAGAAATGCTTTTGTAAGTCAGGAAAGTTGACTCTCAGAATAGCTGGAAAAACTAAACAATCGTGGGCTTAAACCTGACCTCAGCTTTGAAAGCTAGCTAGCAGCTGCATAGAGAAGAGGGGAAGGCAGGCTAGCACACACAGTATGTTCCCTAATGTAGAGGCAGTTCCCACTGCTGCCTAACACCGGCATTTGTATACTGGAACCTTTTGACATCCAACTCTCTCATGTCCTTGAATCATCAGTTAGTTGCCCTCAACAGGAGACTTATACATGGTCTGTCACAGTGAGCTGTAAGGACAGCACTGAACCACTAAGTTGCAGTTAACTGGTGAGAGAAGCATGTCCACAGTAACTGGCCTAAGACAACTGTTTACTAATTAGTATAATCTTAATTCATTTTGTCTGTCAGTATTTTCAAACTTCTGGATTGAGAAAATGGAAAAATTTAAGGCTACACTGAGTACTCATTGAATAAAACTTAACTTCTAATGCAGAAGGCTGGCAAGCCTTGACTAGTGTTCTTTAGCTAAAGGAAAAGTTAACCCAATACCTTGCACATTCTTCTTTTGCCTTGTTTTTAGTGTATTCTGCATCCTGGAGCAGCTGTAGATTATCTTCACATATTTTTTTCATGTCAGCAACTTGCTCCTGCAGAGAAGTGTTCTCCAGTTTAAGACTGTGTATTTCTTCAGTTGTTGTTGTCTTGTAGCTGGTATGACAGTGCAAAGAGAAGTATTGATACTTTAGACAAAATATAGATTAAGTATAAATCCATAAAGCCTTAAGCAGGAATGCTATGGCTCACTCATGCTTAGGTGAAAACACTGAAAGACTGACTACATCTCAAAAGATTGGTCAACACTCGTGAGATGCCTCGCATTCTTACCAATATACTACTTAAAGATTTTGAGAAGGTTTGCAAGAACTATAGGATAAGAAGAACCTAGCTCAGTCTCAAAACTGGCACTGAATCAGGAAGGCTTTCTGCAAGCTATTTCAGAGCACAGAGATAGTCTTCACCAGTTGCAGCTATCATTGAAAAAGGAAAGCACTTGAGTGCTTGATTGGACTTCGGTAGAAGCATCCACAGCTTCCTGATTACTGAGCAAGTCATTACAATTGATTAATACTCAAAATAAAGAGCTTAATACCAAATACTCCACTACAAAAAACACTGCTTGTAAATAAGCATATATCACTGTAATTCTAGTGAAAAATCACTGCCCTACTCTTTAATGGAATTGAAATACCTTTCAAACTCAGCAACATTCTCTCCCAGTTTACGCAGCACGTTGTTAAGCTCTTCTTGGATTTGCAGAACTGTATTGCTGTGCATTTCCTTGATTTGTTCCAACTCAGCATTCTTCCTGAAACAAACATTCAGCATTCCATGCTGGACATAAGCATGTCTGAACACATTACCAAATGCTGTCATCAATTAAAGAAAGCAGCAGCAATATATTAATCCTGACATACCAGCATCCTCTCTGTCACAACTTCTCATGAACTAAAGCACAATCTTCAGATTTAGCAGCTTCAACTACACACTTCCTCACTCTCTAATTTCCAAAATATTCATGGAATAGATTTAACGCCTGCTAGTAAGCTTTCAGTACATCAACATTAACTACAACTTGCTTGAAAAGTCTTCCCTAGCAGTTGCCCTGTCTAGGGTATGAATATCTAACTCAACACAGACGTAGCTAACATTTAACAGTAACTTCACATTACTACAGTACTGGCACTTCAAGCATGTTAGACAGTTTTAGTTAAGATCAATTATAGCAACTCAAATCACTCATACAGATTGGTTCTATCTGCCGTAATTTATCAAAAACAGCAAGAAAAGTTTATATGTGTTCAGGTCTCTTTAAAACCTGAATGAGGCTCAAAAGCTTTGTATATATGGCTGACTCAACTTTTCCTCATTCTATAGCTTTAAACTCGGTTCATTTCACAAACCCTTTTAGCTTCGCTTCCATCTGTGCAAGTTCCAGGGCTTTAGATTTTGTTTCTTTTTCCAACAGCTTCACCAGTTTCTCAGCTTTCTTCTCCTTAGCATGTAGTTTGTCCAGCTCATTCATTGCACTCTTCAACTCCTCTTCCAGGAGACATCTCTCACTCATTACCTCATCTTGAAGACTGAGTAACTTCTGGTGCATAGATGCAGACGATTCCTGCAGAATATCACAGTTTAAAACAACCAGTAGTTTCCTAAGAATGAAAGGCTACTCTGCAGTGTTGAATCTTTAAAGCACAGAAGTGCAAATGGACAAACTGGAATTTCTGTACACTAACTGTTATTCCAAGAAGAGCACACAGCTTCTGCTAACCAGCACCCACTTATACATTCTAAAGATCTAATCTTGAGAAGTGTAACAACTTCATGTGTAACCAAAAAACTCAGAACATTTAGTCCCAGTCGTTTGGATTAGAGTATTTCAGACTAGAGTCTGTATTTACCTTTTCTTGCTGAAGCTGAGAGATTAATTCCTCTTGTTTCTCAGTTAGTTTTTGGTGTTCTTGCTCCTCTATGAGAATTTTTTTTTTCAGTTCTTCTATTTCAGCATTCATACTCAGGACTTTTCCTCTGGTCTCAGATGACTCTCTCTCTGCATAGAGTTAGCATCAATGCAACAGGTAATGTCTTCTCTGTCTTCAAAGAAGCACAACATCTTTCCTTGATAGTTCTACCATTCTAGCTTTAAAGTTAGTCAAGCATGGAAAAAACCCACCTCATAATTTACCCATCCAGGAATTCCTCAAAACCAGCTGAAACAATCCCACTCATAATTATGCTTGAACAGTAGCAAACTTCAGCTCAATTAGCTTTTATCAAATAAAGTGGCACAGCTGGGGAAAACCTGCTAAATGGTTCAGAGTTAGAATGAGTGGGGTTTATTTGGGAGAGCAGAAGTGAATGAGGGCTCCTGGACATGTTCTCTGTACTTCTGTGAACCTGTGTATGAACTACTAACAGTGAAATAAAGTTGTATAGTACTAATTCTTAAACAAAAGGAATAAATATTCATTTTTTGATTGTAAACTAGCATTGAAACTCTTTTCATTGTTATACTATTTACTTCAGTACATCTCCACGGAAATAAAGACTCAAACAGGCTGGTCTGTTTGCAGCTGAAGCCGAGACATGACTTCACTTAGAATCCCCACTAGCATTTTAGACAAATTTTTTTTTTTTTTATAGATGCCTATGTGATCCCAAATACACGAACAGCAATCAAAAACTAGCAATTACCTTTTTCTTGTTCAAGAAACTCACATCGTTCATTAAGTGCTCTGATGAGTGTACTTGATTCTTCCTCTCTCATTCTGAGTGTATCCCTCAGAATCTTGATGTCTTGGTCTTTCTTGATCAACGTCTCCTCCATTTGAGCAACATCTAGTTTATATTTCTCTACAGCTTCTGCAACGCTACTGTAGAACAACATTTACTTGTTACCATAACTTCATTTTTAAGATTTTAATTCAGCACAAGTGAGAGATGCTTGGAATACCGAATACTGTTCCTTTTCAGCAGGAAAGCTTCCTTTCCTTACTTAGGCTTACTTTGCAGCATTAAAACAGGTGCATTTGAAATAAAATGCAATTGATATCAAAATCTGTATTGTAAGCGAAGCTTACAATCACATAATTTAAAATATGTCCCTCAGTTCAATTAAAAACAGAACTAGTTACTCTACTTCATTTACAGATGATTATCCAGTTTTCATTTTAGGAAGATGAGTTTTGACAGAAAAGCATACACACAAATAAACCAGACTTCACAGTACGTTGAAACTTAAGGCAAACTCACAAGGAACCTCTTAGTGAGTAAATTGGCAGAAGTGGGACACTGCCGGAGAAGGAATGTTCAGATTTAAGTGAACTACATTGGAATGCTTCTGTGTTTTAACAGTTTTCTGGGCTAGGTACACATAACTGAGGAGCTGGTTAGTGTTTCCACCTGTTACACAATGCTAAACTGGTAGTGTTTACAGTCAAACTGATATTCTTCTCAAGCACCAGAAACAGATAATTCATCACAGCTATAAAACAAAAACCAGAAAATTGCCAAGTTAACTTTTTTTTTTTTTTAAACTGATACCCCAAATACATACCTTCTAGTAACTCAGAGGAAATAAAAATAAAAGCTGAGTTTTGTATACAAAAATACTTCCTCAATGTGTGCTCATCTTTTAACTCATTCCCATTTGTCTGGGAAAAAAAAAAAACCTTCCTCCCTCCCCCCCCCCACTCTATTACTGTTAAAAAGAATTGTTCCCTAACTTCAGCTTCACCAAGAGAAAGAGAGCTTAGTTTCACTGCCTATTAATGTACCCAGCCCAATTCAAGAACTCCTACCCAAGCTCTGTGATATATTCCAGGAGTTTTTCAGTGTCAGAGTTATCATCCACTTTCTCTCTCTCTGTAGCAGATCTAAAAAAAAAAACACACAGGACATTTTCACTATCACCATTTAAGCACTTCAGAGTTACTCGTAGGTTATCTGCTTACAGGTAGGCAACTAAAAATCAGTCACTGGGTCACTTCTTAATACTAACACATTCTTCCCATAATCAAGCGTGGCTGATGCTTCCATTCACACTAAAGATGCTGTACTGCATTTTACCACAACTGATTATGTTAGACTGCATTAGCTAGCTCATTGTCTCCTTTCATGAATTACATGACCCGCGTTATTAGATTACAGTTGAAATACATGAAGACAAATACAAAGTATCTGCTCACATTCAAGCAATCGGATATTAGAGGAAAGCAAAAGGCCTTTTCATATAAGGAAAGTTTTCCAGTGGCAGTCATCCCAACATCTTTCCATAAAAAAAAGTTTCAGGTCTCTGCTCATTTCTGTTTCCTCTCAGCAGAAAGATGGCCTTAATTTTTCTCCAAGCTACATGCTTAAGTACAATAATCACGTTGCTACATCCATTCCTTTCCTTACTACTTACAGTTTCTCTTGTAACCGTGCTACTTTTCCTCTTGAATGCTCCAGATTCCTTTGTACTTCCTGCAGCTTCATCTCCATGTTCTCCTGCTTTGCAAGTGCAGTCTGGAAAAAGGAAAGTGTTACCACCAAAACTGGATTTAGTAAGAACCAAGTCCATTTTCTTAGAGCCATATTAACTTTTAATTCATCCATAAACAGGATCTAATTACAGTACTAGCTGCTATACTAAATTTGACTCCTATATTCAAATTACCCATCTGCAGATACATGAGCTGTTCACTATAACTACACACATGCACTACCCAGAAAACCCCCACACAGCTGTAGCAATTGGAGAGATCAATACAATGGGAAAGACATTACAGAGATGTGACGACAGAAGGACCAACATGATAAGAAGTTGCTATAAAAGAAGGGAAGATTGCTCACCTGTATCAGAAAATTCTAGGTTCACAATGAAGACTCCACAAAGAAGGGATGTCCAACCAGAGATCCTTCCCCAGTGGCAGTCAGCCCTTAAGTGAGGTTTAAGAGAGGTGCAGCCAGGCTGCAGCCCTTCCTATCACACAGCTGAACTGCCTTCACCTGTGCTCCCAAGGCTGACCAGGTCCTTTCCCCAGGTGCTCAATCAGTGGGTCAGGCCATGACTCAGCAGTTCCCATACAATGGCTAAGAGTCAATTTAAGGCCGCTGCTTTTTCAAACACATCAGTTACCTGACCAGACTGATACTTAAACAAATATTTCTAGAGTTCCTTACTCAGATTAACTTTACATATCAACAGCAAAATAAGGAACATGTATTATTATCCTCCCTAATTCCACTGAATAGAAAGCAGAAAATTTTGAGTTGAGGACAGAAAAAAAAAAGGTAGAACCACTGCAAGCTCTTCATTGACAGTTTCTGAACAGATCAATCCTGTGCAGTATAAAACAGCTTACCTTCTCCTTAGCATCTCTCTTATTTCTGAGCTTCATTAACTCCATACATAGACTGCTCATTTTCTTCTGCACACTATCTTCAGATAGCTTATAGAGATAAAAAAAAAACAGTATGCATAACACTTTTATATGAAAGGCTCAGTCTTGTAAAACAGTATTTTCCTCCCACCCACAACACCGATCTCTACATGACCCAGTAAGTGATGGCAGCACACCCATCTCTGTCCTTACATTAGCACACAATGTCCCAAACAAGACACACTCTGAATGTGAGGAAATGAAGGGGTGCAGAAAACATGTCAATGGGGAAGTTTACTCTTGAACAGGGAACTTAGCAACAACCAAGTCAAAGCAAATAAGCTTCTGTCTGAATACCTTAGATTTTAGTAGTTCATTGGTTCTTGTTAATTCCAGAAGCTGTTTTTTCAGGCAAGCAACATTTGCCAGAAGAGACGTTTTCTCCTGGACTGCAGCACTCAGCTTAGCTTCCATCTTAACAAAGTCTTCATCCAGGGCCTGAAGTTTCTTATCCTGCTCTCCACGTTCTCTCACTAATGCACGAATCTAAAACATAACAAGTGGTCTCTTCTATTTTAAGATATTATTCTTCTTGAAATCCTTAAGTTATGACTGCTGTTCTTCTGAAAAGGCTGATTATCTGAACTGTGTTGGCTTACATTCAGAACATAGATCTTCAATTTTGTCATTCACAGACAAGATATTATACAGAATTATTTTTTCATATGCCATTAAACTGTAGTTCTAACTCTTAGCTGTCTTACTATGTGCTATTGGGCCAGCAACATGTAATCTGAGTTAGTCTTATCTTCGACTTGCGAGAGAATACACGTGTCTCTGTTTTCTAGCCAACAAGATGTGATACCTGAGACAAATGGAGTAGATATGAGTACATAGACATGTACTGAAAGGAAAAGCTAGCTGCCTCTTAAACTTGAAAATTGTAGCAGTTTTTGAGGGAGAAAAAACAGCAAGATTTTTTAAAAAAAGAGTTGTTAAATAGCAAACCCTTTTTAGAGGTAGAAAGCATAGAACTAGATTCCTTTATTTTCTATTAAGAAAATGGTTTAGCTGCACAGCTGCTCAGGATTAGCAGGAATTAACACAATTCCATTCCATTAACAAGCCCAATGTTTTCTACAAACCATAACATCCAATAACCTCTGCTCTGTGTAGAGCACTTGTGCATTATGTTATGTAAAAGCAGCAAGTTCTGCCAGCTTCTCTTTTTAACTCTGGAAAGCAGCCGACATTAAGTGAATGCAATTCTGTGATAATTCATACCTCCTTCTCCAGTATCTTCTGTTTCTTTTTCTCTCTCATAAGGATAAGATCTTTTCTAGGCTTCAGACTCCCACTAACCGGCTGTTGAAAACAAACTCATTAGAAATAATTTAACTGATTTGTAGCTGCATATTAGTTCAGCAACAGTTAAACATTAGTGTAGATAACACTATTAAAGATACAGTATCAGAAAAAAAAATCTGTCCCACAGATAGAACAGATGAAGACCAGCTTTACCATTGTGCTTTCTTGAATGGACAGCTCCCAGCCATTGTGATGGGAAGGAGACTAAGAAGGCATGAGACATACACATCTCTTCAGCTACATAACACCACACTAACCTCTTAAAGAGAACTGGGCTCACAGAACTTCTTCATATATCATAAGTACTAATAAACTGAATTACGAAGTTATTACTGAAGTCATTAACCTATCTATCTTCAAATCTACAACTTTATAGATTGAACTGAGAACCCCTCTTTATAATCCCCCCTTTATCTTTTCCTCCACCAGGTGCAAGCTCTGGTCTAGCCACCTCATGAAAACAGCAGAAACCAGATCTTAAGAGAAGCAGCTTTGTTATAGCTCTAAGCTGAGCAAGAATGCAAATAAAATAAACACAACAATCCACATTAATGAAAATATTGTGTAGGCAGTCTGCAAAGCCAACAAGCCACTCTGTATACTGAAGTAATCATCACATGATCCCAAAAATCCAGTTAGCTATTTTTCTCTCCTTTGTTACTGATGAATCCAGGCATCATAATGTGCTTCACATTTTACATAGGTAAGTTAACAGTGATTGTGTAAAAAAGATCTACGTGGTTTAACTGAACACAATGAGGTTTTAACAGTGCTGCAGATGCCACAGAAATATCTTACTAGTGATCCACGAGATGCAAGACTCCTTCCAGCTCCAGAGGCAGTTGTATTCTTCTCATCGTTCAGACTTGTCTCATCTGCAGGAAGATACAGAAAAGAACAGTGAAGAAGAAGGGTGTGTATGCGTACAATTAGTGAAATTCCACCAAACTAGGCAGAAACAATTAATTTGTTATACCAGTGACAGAAAGCTACCTGATTATTAGACTACCCACCTCACAACCTAAAGCCAACTGCTTTCTTAGTGCAATCAAGCAATCAGTGTTTGTCAGCTGGGCACACAACAGAGTCCAGAGACTGACTTCCAGACAGCAGCCCATTCTGAGAAATTAGCTTCTGCAAAGCTTATACCCTCCATCCAGATTCACACTGCCAGGCTTCAACTAAAGGACATCTTATGTTTGAAAAAACATCATGAAAATATTACTAAGAGGCAAATCTAGTGAAGTCCTCGAATCATGTATCTTAATGCACAGACTGTACTGATCAGGAGAGACCACGCATAAAGTGGCTCAAAGAAAAAGACTGGAACAGCCGTGTCCTTAGAGCTGGAAGGAACGCAATGAGCTGCAGAAAAGAACCAACAAAGCTTAAAAGAAAAGAACAAAGCAGTAGCAGCACATAAACACTCACAAATGCAGCTTTCGAGAGTACTGCAGCACAACTTCTAGGGCTACTCACTCTTCTGTTTCCCAACGTGCTGATGTTTCCCATCGTCTGATGCTCCGGAGGATGACGAACCCCTCGGGGCAGCTGAAGACTTGGTGTCACAGGAGCCTCGGAGCAAGCCGCACGCTATGAACGAGACAGAGAAAATGGGAGAGAAGAGGTAGGGACAGAGGTTTCAAGTCTTACGAGTTGAAGGTAGTAAAACAAAACAGCTACACGTGCTTTAAAATAAATAAATAAAAAACACATAACACCCGGCGGAGAGAAGCGCTGCTTTCCTGCTGCAGCAGCAAAGCTGAAAGCTGAAGCCAGGAGCTTCACCCGCAGCGCAGGACCCGGACCTGCTCACAGGTACGCGCGGCGACTCAACCCAGCACAAAGGGACTCCGGCACCCGCTCGGCCACAAAGCTCCCCCACCGCCACCCCGCAGCCATACGACGGCAGGACCCCGCGCGTACCCGGCCGGTCGCTGAAGCGCCGCAGCGGAGCCCTGCGGAGCGCCATGGCTGCTGACGGAGCGGCGCGCCGCTCCCCGCATTCAAAGGCACCAACGTCCGCCGCCACGCGCCGCGGGCGGCCAATCAGCTCCTCCATCTCCGGGCCGGCTCAGCCAATCAGCGCTCCTTTCCTGGAGCATGCGCGTTGCTGAATAAGGGGGCGGAAGAGAGGGGTGTCGGGGCTGCGCGCACGCGCGATGCCTCGCTTCCGGGTCGGGGCGGAACGGCTGGTTGGTGTCTGTGCTGTCACATGTCGGCTCCGTTCGAGGAGCGGAGCGGGGTGGTGCCCTGCGGGACGCCCTGGGGCCGCTGGTACCAGACCCTGGAGGAGGTGTTCATCGAGGTGCAGGTGCCGCCGGGCACGCGGGCGAAGGATGTGAGCTGCAGCCTGCAGAGCCGGCGCGTGGCGCTGTCCGTGTGCGGCCGGGAGGTGCTGCAGGTAGCGGCGGGGCCGGGAGGGGCGATTCGTGTGGCTGCGGCTCACGTCGTGTTGCCTCAGCGCTGCCCTGAGGTTTTTTCGGCAGATTCGCTACGGGCGGCACGACTCCAAAGTGCCCCGAGCTGCGCAGTGAGGCATCAGCACGGCGATGGGCGGTTCTATGTATCGAATGCTCCGTTAAAAAGAATAATAATAATAACGTGTAATAAAAACATATGTCCCTGATAGTGTTCAAGCCCATATGGGCGGGGAATGAGTGCCCTTTTCCTTTGGGGTGGAACACAATAAAGTGAGCAGTGCGTAGGGCGGTACGATTACAGGTGAGCTTATGGCTGAGCTGCTTTTCTGCTCTGTAATGCTGTCAATGTCTTTGCAGGGTAAACTTTTTGACTCTACGATAGCTGATGAAGGAACGTGGACTTTAGGTAATGACCTTTATCTGAAGTGACATCTGGGAGGGTGGTAGAGCACAAAATGTGCTGCAGGAGAGTTTACCAGCAGTACCCCCTCCCATTCATTTTCTTCTTTGTTTTTTCTTATTCTGTTTCAGTTCTGTAGCTGTATGAAGGGACAGTTGTATTGGCAGCTAAGAAACTACGGTAGTGCAAAGGTCTAAGGTTAATAATAGTGCAAAAGTGCCAGATGTGGGAAGGCAGTATCCCATGGCTTAGGAACACTTCCTGGGAATGAACATTTGCTTCTCAGGAAATGGATTGCTAAAAGTTTTATTGCAAATACACTCCGAAGTTAGACCGGTACAGCTGTGTGCCTCTGCAACTTTTGTTTTTCTTATTTTTTCCCTTCTAATCTGTGCATTGTATTTCTGGGATAGGTGACAAAACCTACAGTCCAAAAACATCAAAAAGCAATTAAAAAATCAGGCAATAGTACTTAAAGAGCAAAAAACCTCTCTCATTACTTGATAAATATTGCAAAGTATTCACAATGCTTTGATTTTTGAAAGCCATATAAAAGGACTGTACCTATCCATTTACTTTCTGATAGATTTCCATAAAAGCAAAATGACTGACTCCTCATCATGGTAATGGTGGCTTTTACAAGTAATAACCTTCTGTATAGCTTGGCTTCAAACACTTGGTTATTCCCCTAGCTGACCTCTATCTCATCCTATATCTGACCCTAAGTCTTTTCTCCATCACGGACCTCTCCAAAAGGTTTTACTTGGAATAGAGGTGCACCATGATGGCTCCACAAAACGACTATTAGGTGTTATAGGTAAGAAAGTGAGGTGTGGCTGTACAGATTATCTTTGCTTCCTGTTTATATTTTTATTTATTAATAACCCCCTTTGACATTAAGAACTTAAACTATCTCAAAAAAATTCCCGTGGTTTGGCATATTGATGGTGAATTCAGCACAGTAACAAAAAGGCTGGCACATAGGGCACTAATGGTTGTCTTCTTTTTTCTTCATTCAATAGAAGACCGAAAACTGATACGAATTGTTCTGATGAAGACTAATCGAGATGCTGGAAACTGCTGGACATCTTTGTTAGAAAATGAATACGCTGCTGATCCTTGGGTACAAGACCAGATGCAAAGGAAACTTACGCTGGAGCGATTCCAAAGAGAGGCAAGTCAAAGGCCCCCACTTACTGCTTGTGTTTGGTGTTTGCAGATATGGGTTATGGTCATGAAAGCCGAGTGAAATTGTTGTGCTGTGATGTAGTGCTATGGAAACAGATGGTAGTTCAAGGCAGAGATGTGTAAACACTCGATATGTCAGTGTACTTTCAGGAGGCTCTTCTGTCTGTAGCCTGTATGAAGAATTTGTGAAAAATCAAGTGAGTTGTGGGGTGGTGTTGGTGTTTTAAGGTTTTGATCCATAATTATAACAACGTTTCACTAATGACAGGCTACATGTATCTCTGTTATTATCTAGAACTATCACATATCTCTCTATATGATAAACTTCTGACATCTTACATCTTCTAACATCTTTAATTTGTATATAATGTTAGGTGATGGAAACTAGTTAACTCAAAATTGCTCTGCCGTTTAACTAAACTTGCTTAAATTATTCTGACACACTTTTCTAGTACCCAGCTATTCCTTTTCAGCTCTGCAGTTTTAGAAACTTATTAGATGAATCAGCACTACAACAAAGATGGCAATTTATATCAAAGTTTTTATCTGGCATGGGTGTACTTTTTTTCCTCTAAAATTGTAATTTCAAGGCATGTGAAATGCCAGAGAATTTTCTTAGAGTTTTCTTAATATTTCTTCTCTGGGAAATCTGACTGCTTGCCTGACAGAGAATGGCATTATAAAGAAATTTCAGCAGTGAGCAACTCAACTGTGGCAATTAACGCATTCTCCTGGCAAAAGAATTTCAGTGTTGGTAATCCAGTTAACAAGTTGTACCTATATGTCCTTGTTAGAGTGGTAGAATGTTAAAAGAAACATTATTTTGTTCTTTATATCAGTTCTGTTAAGAATAATCTGTATACTAAACTTTTGTCTCTGTCAGAACCCTGGATTTGACTTCAGCGGGGCAGAAATTTCTGGAAATTACAGTAAAGGAGGACCAGACTTCTCTAGCCTTGAAAAATGAACTGTTTGCAACTGTGTTCCTTGGGAGCAATCACAAATTACACTGGAGGACTGGAATATGTAACTGGTGAAGACTTCAGTGATCTATCCAGCAGATTGTTGGCAAGTAATCACTTCAGTGAAGAGAAAGGAGGTCTCTTCTAGTAGAGTGAAGAGGAAGTGTTAGTAGCTACCTTGTAACATTAACTTTCTAGTAACTTGCTAATGGTAAAGGGATTAAATACATAAACGTGTGTACACAGAAAATAACAAATGGAAGCAGAACATATCTTTTTCTCACGCCACAGTGAGCTAGTGAGATAAATGTGCCACTTATCTATGCAAGAATATCTTGTTCACTGTTGAAAATGGATCCTATAAGCAAGATACTTAATGTTTTTATTTAACATGCAACATGAAAGAATATCAGGAAGGCTAACTGAAATTCTGCTGCATAGCAGCCCGGTAAGAATTTGTGAGTGTTATTTTAAAAAAGTGGTTTAAATAAAGAAAACTACTGGATTTTGCCTGAAATGAGGTTTTACAATCCCCTGCACTGACAAATATAATACTAGTGAGAAATGCCTGCTACCAGTTAAGTGATAGGAGAAAACTAAGAAGTCAGATAGAAGTCTGGATATAAATAATTGTGTGAATGTAATATAGTAATATATGAAATTTTGAAAGTAAGAGAATATAGCAACTTCTGAAAGGAGTAGTAAGTCCTTAAGTAGAAAATAATATCTTTCATCTATTCCTTTCTGATACACAGCACAATGTTTTGTTTTGTTTTTACAAATCTAAGAACATGCAGCTGTAGATTTTGGTAGGTAGTTTAATAGTCACATCTTAAACTTGGCTATTTAATGATATAAGACTTTGCATTTGCCAATTTCTTATTTCTACCTGTTCTTAGAGACAGCTGAAAAGCCCTCCAACTGTGTTATGCAGTGTCCTGTGTCAAATTGACTAACAGGAAGAAAATGTGATTGCTGAATCCTATTGTATTCTGAACACTGAAAATACTGCCTACAGTTAGGACCTAAGCAGACAGCTCACTGGTGATAAATTGCCAGCTGTCCATCGTATTACTGAACATTATTTTTAACATAGCATCGATAATTTAGTTGGCGTATGGCAAAAATGAAACGATAGCTGGAAGAGGGCTTTCTTGTACCAGCAAGCAAGCAATTAGTTCTCATAAAATAACCAAGTATTCTTCTTCTACCCATGTAATCCTTAGACGAATATATAGTAGGTCCAAACACCATGCTTGGGTTTTAGAAAATTTGCCTTACTGTGCAAACCAAAGTACAGTTTGTTATCAGATGTATCTTTACCACAGTCCTGGTTTAGAAGGTAGATAGTGTAGCTAAGGAATGAATGAGACTGCTGCAAATGGTAGAACTGAGAACAGAGATAATAAGTAACTGTTAATGCTGCTTCAAAGTGCTGAAATACTATTCAGTGCAAGAGTATTTTACTTTACAGCAGTTACAATTGTTTACACAGGAATGTTTTTTATATCTTATGCTTACAGAAATTCAGACTAGAATCTGATGCTTTTCTGCATGAGCAGATAGTTTTACTATATATTCTTTCAAAGCTAAGTTTTCTCGTATTTTCTTCTTCATGAAGTGGTGTTTTGTGCTTTATAAAGCATGTGTTCAGCCATTATAGCTTGCAATTGTTTTAGGAGGACACATTTAAACTATTTGGTTTGCTGCTTCTATTGTCTGCTGTGATTTATTTCCTGAATTGGAGTCCACTCAATTTGCAGTTAATACTTCACCAGAGGATGGTTTGTATTCCATCTTGCTGGGATTCCATCCCTTGTTTCTTAAATAAACCGTAAAAGATGTGACAGACAATAGAGTTGGATGTATGATAGGTATACAGTGACCTAGTTCATGGGAAATAATACTGTGCAGTCATTCAAGTTGCTATTATATAAATGGGCAGAGGCCACCCTACAGGCATTTTTTCATACCTCTAATGCAAGATAAGGTCAGATAGTTCAAAGGACAATCTGCTTTTAATGGATGTGTTAGGCATCATACATGGCTAAACTTTTATCTAGTCACTCTGTAATGCTCAGCTCAATCCAAACACTGAAACCTTGGAATTGGGAATGTGGGTTCACAGAATGGCCAGGGATGGAAGGGACCTCAAGGATCATGAAACTCCAACCCCCCTGCCACATGCAGGGACACCAACCTCCTCATTTAATGCTAGACCAGCATTAGGCTGCCCAGGGCCCCATCCAATCTGGCCTTGAACACCTCCAGGGACGGGGCATCCACAGCCTCTCTAGGCAGCCTGTTCCAGTACCTCACCACTCTCTCTGTAAAGAATTTCCCCCCTGACATCCAACCTAACTCTCCCCTCCCTCAACTTAAAACCTTTTCCCCTCATCCTGCAGTTATCTACCCTTCCAAAGAGTTGATTCCCCTCCCCTCTGTAGGCTCCCTTTGGATATTGAAGTGCTGGGATTCGTCCGGCCCGAGTGCAAAACTCTGCACTTTGCCATGTTGAACCTCATCAGGTTCACCTGGGCCCACCTTTCTAGCCTCACGAGGTCCCTCTGAATGGTATGTCAACTGCACCACTCAGCTTGGAGCCCTCAGCAAACTTGCTGAGGGTGCACTCAATTCCGTCATCGATGTCATTGATAAAGATGTTAAAGAGCACCGGTCCCAAGACAGACCCCTGGGGGACGCCGCTTGTTACCGGCCTCCACCTGGACGCAGAGCCATTGATGACCACCCTCTGTCTGCGGCCTTTCAACCAGTTTCTTATCCATCGTGTGGTCCACCCATCAAATCCACATCCCTCCAGTTTGGAGATAAGGATGTGGTGGGGGACCATGTCAAAGGCCTTGCTCAAGTCCAGGTAAATGACATCGGTCGCCTTTCCCTTGTCCACCGATGCCGTCACTCCATCATAAAAGGCCACCAGATTGGTCAAGCATGACCCTCCTCGGGTGAAGCTGTGCTGGCTGTCACAGATCACACGCCCTTTCCTCATGTGATCAAGCATGTCATCCGGGTCTTCAAGTACCATCTGTGTATTTACTGCAGTGCACAGAAGTAAATGATATGTACTATTACATACAGAGTGGCAGGTATCTGAAGTCAAACTTATACAGTGTAGTATTTTGGCAGTCTAGGTGCAGCAAATCATTTGAGATGCTGAAACAAGAGCCAAGCTGAAATTATTTCATTAAGCTGTCTTTTTCCTTTTTGCTTTTCTAGCCTTTCCCACTGCAGCTTCAACCTCTTAAACTACATCCTTAGTCTCTTATCTCCTGCGCTGAAGTTGACCAGGTAGCATTCAGCTGTAAGCAGCTTTGTGGACTTCCTACTAAAATGTCTTGTAATACACTGGAAAAAAAAGTTACTCAATTTTCTGCATTTCAGTCTTTAATTGAAAGGTACATATCTTGAGACATGACAATACCAGCACAACTGCATGCTGCATCTTGCTCTCTCCCAGTAAGCTGACCACCCATTTGTATACATCACCTGTGTTCCTTTCAGCACAATGCATGCATTGCACTGGTGGATGGAAAACACAATTCAATATTATGCAGCATAACCATTCCCATGAGTTTATGAGAAAGCCTGATTTGTCCAGGACAGAGCTTTGGTATGTAGTTTTCTGTGAGAAGTTTAACTAGTTTGAGATAAGTGAAGAATAATCTCCTCATCCATTATTACCATAAAGGAGATGGATTTGGTAGGCTAGCCTGGTAAGTCCACAGAGTATTCAAAACGTGCAGATTCCTTCCTTCTCCACTGACTCCATTCATACACCAACCGGTTCTTAACAGAATTCAAGGAGTCATAAGCAACATTCCCCCAAATCCTCATCCATCTTACATACAATAACATATTCTTCTTGTTCACTTTCACATTAGTACCAGCAGCACGATACACTTCAAGTACTGACTTAACCTTCAGGGAAAAACAGCAATTTTACTTAGTAAGCTTACTGTTAAACAGACTATGGTTGCAAGTCTTCATGTTTTCCTAATGTTGAATAGCCTGTAAGTAGGAGCACAGTGAAGGTTGAACATTTCTGACTGTGCTTGTCCCTCTTGTTCTGTATCAGCATTTACTCTTTGTACAGTGGAACCCTGGCAAACTCATACCCAATTTGGAGCAGGTGCTGTGGTGCTTTCTCCCCAGCCATCACTAGGTATTATGAAGTTTCCATACACTTGCCCTCATCCATAATCTCAGCAAACCACACTTCTTATATAATACCGATGTTACTGATGCACTGACGTTAATGACTACACCACAGGCATCACAAAACCTTATTTTCATTTTGTATCCACAGTAAAGGTGAGCACCCTGCCCTGTATGAACACAGGTGCATGCTGCTATTCAAACAGCATGTCAGGTGGGCTGATGAACATTTGTTATTCCTATCAATATTGAGTAAGATGGTCTTTAGTTTGCCTGAGACACTGAAGCACTGTGCTACTGCATATGTTTACCTAGTGTCAAGTAGTCTTTGGAAAATGAACCACATTTTTTCAATCTAATATATAATTTTGCACCTGCACTTGCTGTAAAACAAAGTTAGATTACACAAGCTGCCCTACGAACTATAAGGTATTAAATTCTTTGCATCAGTATTGTGACATTTTACTGCTCAAATAGTAAATCGTCTAGTAAGTAAGATCAAAAGCTAACATTAGGTATCATAGTCATCATGGAAAAGAACATTTGCTGCAAGGAATTCTAGTCTGAACCACTATATATTCTTGCAAAAGTCAAGTTCTTCATTAAGATGTTTCTTGAATCTTCATCTGCTGTGAACAGGTTTCAGGCTGATTCTCTCCTTTTATTGTACTCCTGTAAAACAAACAAACAAAAAAAACCATAATGAACAATCAACTAACTAAAGGGATTTTTACGAGAATAAAATAAAGCATAAGACAGACTTTAACACAGAAAGATAGCTTTTAAAGAAGGTATGTAGCCTTTGGAATTAAAGTCTAGATAAGGAAGTAGTGTGTGATTCCACAGTTAATCAACTGCAATATGCATAACCAGATGAGTTTCAGACTTTACTAAATGGACACCTGTCCGACTCAATGGGTATGAAGCTGTCTTTAAGTGGCTTTAGTGAACTATTACAAGAGATTCTAACAGGCATCTGTTTCCTTTTAGATTCTTTCTGTGATTGGAGCAAGCTAAGTATTGCCCCTGCTTTTTTACCAGTTTTACTCCGTATTTAAGTTAGAATGAGGTCCCAATGTCTGTAGAATACATTTCTGCTCCCAGAGTACATCAAAGCATCAGTTCCATTTCCAATATTCACATATTAGGTAGCCACTTCTTTAGGTACACCACAGGCTCAAGCATGAACACGAGAACAGACCAGCCTGTGACAGGCCTACTACATTTACGTTAACATCTCCAACAGGTTACCTATATGGAATAAGAAACTTTCAAATAGTTAACAGTTTATTACTTCTACATTGTGAGAAGCTGCTTTTACAAGTAGTTACCTATTATGAGCTGATTTCTGGAATTGTAGGAAGGTGTGTTATTCTATAATAGCTATGCTTAAGCTGCCGTGCTGTACGTCCAGACACGATCCATTTTAATTTCTGGACATTTGGTTTGGAACACTTGCTTGAGGAATATTCTGTAAGGCACTTCAACACCAATTCCTTCCAGAAGGTCAATTCTCTGTTGTTTATCTAAAGAGCAAGACAGAATCCCATGTCACTAACTCATTACATCTTTAAATTACATGTACTAAAAATGTACTTAAGATAGAAAGCCATACATTCCAAGCCATATGGAATATAAAAAAGAAAAAAAGAAACCAGTACATCAATAGAACTCCTCTTCCTCCAGTGAGAAAGCCCCTGCATGCATTTTTATTCCTGCATCCTGGAAAGCTTTATCCATACCTTGGAATGCAACTGCAGAAATTCCAATGCCTCTGTCAACTCCAGTAGTTTTTGTTCTTCTATCTCTACTGCCATAATAGACAGTGCTAAAACAGAAGGCTGGAGAGAGAAAGACAACATGACATTTTTGATCTACAACTTGAAAGTTTCTCTAGTCTCACTATTAGCTTTCAAGTTTACCTTAGCTTTAGAAAACATGATTCTGCAGTGACATGCCTTAAGCTGGGTCTCAAGTCTCTCAAAATTAAGGTATCTTTTCCTGTAATAAAAACAGATGACTCATTGTTGCACAAGAACACGATCTTTATCAAGACCACTCTTCTCTCTGTGACAGTGACAGGACTTGAAGGAATGGCATGGAGCTATGTCATGGAATGGTCAGCTTGGGCATTAGGAAAAGGTTTCTCACAAGAGGGTGCTTGGCATGGACTGGGCTTCCAAGGCAGTGGTCACTGCCCCAGGCTGCCGGAGTTCAAGAAGCACTTGGATAACGCTCTCAGAAATATTGAATTTTGGATGGTCCTGCGTGGGGCAAGGACTTGATGCTTCTTGGGGGTCTCTTCTGACTTGGGATACTCTGTGATTCCATGGAAACAGAGAAGCTGTGAGAATGTTCTTTATTTAAACAAGGGCCTCATTTGTACCAGAAGAAGTGTTTCAGTCAAACAAGTGCTAAATTTTGGCAGTCTTCATGCCCAAAATAAATCTTGTGTTATACTGCAAAGAACTGCATTGTCAAAACAGATTTAGAAAAAGGGAGTTTTAATGTTAACTATTAAAAGGAACTTATTCTGAAACCCTATTTTGAAATCTCTGCAGAAGGGTTTTACTGACATGAACTTCTTACACTATTATTGTTGACCAATTTGTTTTGGGATTTAGAAAACAATACTCCCTAAATGACTTTACACAAAAAAAAAAAAAAAAAACACAACCATTTTAAGATAACATTATACCTTTACACCTCAGTATTCACATTTATTATTAAGGAGAAAAGTTTTATTTATTTATTTTTTAATATCAAAAGGCCAATTACTTCACTAATAATCCCTTGCTGTTTTCTGGCATAGGCTTTCTGGCCGCTTTCTGCGGCCATACCATAACACAATAAGCTTGAGATGTTTTACCTTTCACAGCTTAAATTCTCATGAATGAGCGAATAATAAAGCTGCAGAAACTGGAAGGCTGTTGTTGCTTTGACTTTCCAAGAAAGCTTCTCCAGTACGATTTTCTCCATTCTCATCATATCAGAAACAGTGAACCTATATTGGCTTATTCGAATTAAGTCGGTGGCTAAGGGAACATTTCTCTCTTCTTCTGTTGCCTTCACAGCCAGGTAGAAACAGCTCAGTCCAACACAGCCCAAGTGTTTAGGCTGTACCTAAAGAAAAGTCAATGTTTTTAGTTACTTTTAAAGAGGGAAGCCTTTGATAAATCTCAATATGCAAGTACCAAATTATACGTTATTTTAGGAAAAAAAATTATGTAGAACTAGTTTCTAAACACGGTTGTATAGGACCTAGAGTGTTGTACATTGGCTTGTCCCAAGAATTTGGTATTTTTTGTTTATATATATATATATAAGGGAACCACAGATAATTTGTAAGGGCAGGCTTTGGATTCAGAAGTCCTACACTTCACCCAGCCTTCTCATTTTTTAGGGACGTATTAAAATACAAGGAAAGCTAGCATTTGTCTCGGACTAAATGGAACAGCAGTAATCCTGTCTCATTAGACAAATAACCCAGGTCAGCATACCAAATACATGCAGAAGAATGGAGTGCTAGCTAACTGTTAATTTTACCTGATTAATAAATGCTGAACAGTATCCCAACTCTTGATATACCTAAGACACACTAGTGGGTTTAAACAGCAGTAAACTGAGAAGTAATTCAGCATGTTCTTGTGTATGTGCAACAGGCCAGACAGCCTGTCTTGATCTAAAGCCATAATAAGCCTGCATTTCCAAGCTTATGTGCACCCTCAACTTGGAGCAGATGCCCTCTTCCTTCTCTTCTTCAGGGAAAGCAGCTTTCTTAGCACTGCTGAAATCCAACCAGGGAAAGCCATTTTTTATGCTCTTGTGCAATCGGGATGTGGGGAAGGAGCTTAACCTTTAGCCCTCTAAAAACAAAGCAAGCCCTTCTAAATAACAGGAGCGAGGTCGCAGCGAGGAGAAGCTATCGAGCTTCTACTTTAAACAGCCATACCTTCATTCTGGACAAGAACCTGTCTAAGAAGTTGACGGCCAGCGAGAAGGTCTCCGTGTGGAAGCCGAAGAACTGAGTGAGGCTGAGCAGATCCTTCACTTCGAAGTCTCGCAGCCTCGCGGTCATTCGGAGGCCGTTGTCATGGGCGGACTCGATCAGCCTCAGGCCCGAGCCCTTGGGCTGGCAGCGCGGCTCCTGCTCCAGCAGAGCCGTCAGGCGGTACAGCAGCGCGCGGGCATCGCTGCTCACCAGCGTCTCGATCATCTGCACCGACGAACAACGAGCTCAGCGAACCCAGCAGCCGCGCACGCGCCGCCCGCACGGGACGTGTCCGGGACGTGTCCGGGCCCGTCCTCACCCGTCCTCGCCCGCCTCGGGGCCGCCCGCGCGGCAGCACGGAGCTCGGTGCCCCGCTGCGCACCGCCGGCTATCCGGGCGCGGCGCGGAGAAGACCGAGCCGCCGGCTGCAGGTCCGACCCCGCGCCCTTACCTCGTCGCCGCCTCGCCGCTCCCTTCAGCCGGAGGAGGGCCCCGAGGCGCCGCGCGTGACGCCGCGAGTTTACCCTACACAACTCTCGCCCGACCGGGCGCCGAGCCCCGCCCGCCCGCACGCTGCCATGCGCCCCTCACCGCACCGCTCGGCTATGCCGCCACGGGCTCCCCTCCGCCCGGCCCGCCCCGCGGGGCTGCGGATGATTGACGTGCAGGCGGGCCAATCGCAGCGCGGGGCGCCTTCTCCACGAGCGGCGCGGGCCCGGCGCTGCGGCTCCCTCTGCTGGCGGCGCCGCCACGCGGTCGGTGTTGGAGGCGAGGCGCGCGTCAGCCGCTTCGTATCCTGAAATTTTAGGGGTGTTATTTCGGATTCAGTCTTAAATTTTCAAGCCGTCTTGTGGTAATTATCATCTGAGAGGCTTAAAATGCTTTTGAGGGGTGCGCTGGAGTAGGATGCAAGCAGCTGCTAGGGATGCAAACTTTGTACCTCGTCGTCTGACTGCGCTGCGGGGACGCGGCGCTGGGCGGGCGGCGAGGCGAGGGGCAGCGACTGCGGCGTGCGATGTCCGAGAGACACGTGGAGGAAGTATGAGCGAGGGCTGCGGTGTGCGCTTGTGGAAGTGTTTAGAAACAGAAGTAAGGCAATTTTTTTTTTTTTTTTTTTTTCAGAAATGCGATGTAAACGTAGCCTTTCAAAGGACTTTTTAAATTGAGGCTGGTTTGTTTATTTGTTTTGCTTCCAAAAGAATTGCATGTGCCTGCAGCCCATCTATCAGATTTGGATGCTTTGGACTACGATATAATTGCATTTATTTAATGTCAGGTTCCCATTTGTAAGAACGCTGATCTGAGTTACGCAGAAGCCTTCCTTTGTTGTAACCCTTGAAATGATACAAATTTCTGCTTCATTTCTTCATGTATCTGCCAGGCAACCAATGGTCCCAGGGCCTACTGTTGCTGTTGGACTCTTTCACTGATTCAGATCACTAATAAATGTTTTTACTGTTTTCTCTGAGTCTTCCCATTCTCCTTCAGAGAATACAGGAAGGGACGCCTGGCAGGAGAACATGTTGGTTCTTGGTTCTGCCTTCTTGTTCAGGACATGTGAGTGCCTGAGGAATTGTGTGTGCTTCTCCGAGGTAAAAATATTTTCAAATGAGTGTTGAGCCACACTTTCTACTTCAACCCCATCAGCCTATGTCTGCTGCTCTGAGATACCTGCAGCACTTTTGGTAGTTGATACTTAGCATCCCTGCTTTTCTATGGCAGTCATTCATGTAAAGTAGAATTAGGAGCAGCTGCTGTAACTGCACTGCTTCTGCATGCTGAGATGGAAAATGCTCACAGAAGTCATGCTGTGCTGCGCCGTGCTGTGTCTGCAGGCCTCGCAGTTAGCTGCAAAAACAACAGAGCTGCTTGTGCACATACCAATAAAAATGCTTACAGAAGTGTTTCACACTGTCTCACTGAGTAACAACTGCATCAAAATCACTTTTTTTCATTAGCAAATACTTTCTTCCTTCTACTTGCTTATACTTCTTTAAAAGGTAACTTGCTTCTTCAAGAGGAGGTTTCTCAGAATGTGTTGAACTCAGAATATTCTCCTTTATTATTTGGGCAGCTATCATTCCTTTTTAGGTCAGAAACTTGTTTCTTTTAATTTAATGTTGCCTGTAGAAATCTAAGGAATGTAAATATTTATTTTTCATTGCTAATGTTTTTAATACTTCAATGCATGCTCTTAAGTTAAACCATGAAAAATTTTAACTAAAATCTGGCATTGTTTTAAATATATTTGAGAGAATGAAGTGGAATTAAACTTTTTACCACAGAGCAAAACATCTGCCTGTCCATATCCTTTACAGCATGCTTGTTAAATGACTTGCATGTGCATTTGCAGTGTCACTGGAGATGAAATATTATTACCGCGCTCCTTGCATCTGCTGTAGTTTCTATTGAAATAAATAGGAGGCATTACTTTTGGAGCATTGTATGTTCTTTTCCTAGCTTTAAAACCTTTACATTAGTCCATGCTCTCACTGTAGTTCTTTTGTAGTATCAGTATGTACATCCAGAAGAGAAAGTTTGACATCTGTTGCATCAGAGCTTTCCCATGTGAAGCCTCTGTGTCTGTCTCGAATGTCTTTTCATTCTGGTTACTTGTCACTGCAATTTAGCAATGGTCAGATAAAATCCATGTCCTGTCATACCTTTACTTTTCCTCTGCTGTCCCATTTGTCTACTTGCACCAGCGTGCAACAGGCAGTCAGTACAGGCTGTGGTGTTGTGTGATGAGAAATAAGGGTTAGCAGCAGGAGGAGCAGCAGTCTTTTTTAGCAGATGTCGCGTGGCAGTGAGATCCTTAGCTACCAGTACATGGCCTTGTCAGTGTGACAGGAGACAGTGTGTGATAAATAAACCAGTATTCAAAGTAAGTTGCTATTTCATTAGCATAGGAAGCACTCCCTGGCTTGTAGCAGGGTCAGTGGCTTTTTAGGGTAGTCAGATGGCCAAGGATGAGACCCACCAAGAAGCTGTTAGCATCAGTTCCTCTAAATATGATGATTAAACTAGCAAAAATAAAAGAAGTTTAGAACACCTTGCTTGCTTTCCTCTTTCCTGTGTTGGTGGCTGTCATTACCAGTTTTCATTGCTCTGTTGTCTCACAAGGGAGCAGCTTTCCTGGGCAGCTATTGCACTCCTTTTGGAAGAAGTGTACGTATAAAACTGAGAGGATCTGTTTTGTGCACCAATGAGTTTTATTGTCTTATTTACTCCATATATGTGTCAGAAGCAGCATTCATCCTATTTTTTCCATAGTACCTGTCACTCTTTTATTGTGGATTTCTTTGATTCTTTCTATGGATTACCTTTGGAAATGAATTGTGTTTTATTAAAAAGAATCTTTATTATACTGTAGAAAGCTGCAATGAATGACGAAGAAGGTGAAATCAGAAAAGCTTGAGATGCAGAGATACTGAAGGAAAATATATTTTGCATAGTAAATGCTTGGTTTTTTAGAAGGCTTGGTTGCAATTGGCATAAGGGATTGTTTGGGTGCAAAGGTGGGATGGCCAAAATAACATGTCCAGCTTTTCCCTCTTTCAGTATCATTCACTTGTACAGAAGGCAACTTTTATGTTTCTATTTGCCATATAGTTAACTTTTTTCCTCAGACCTTTGCTGTAGTAGAATGAATGCATCTAAAAATCTTCGTTTTGGCACTCGTCTGCAATGATCTTAATTTCTATCATGATTAGGAAAGAAAAAGTAATTTGTTTAAAACTAAAGATGGGGGCATCAATCCCAAATCTCAAGCCACAGCCTTTCTGAAAGAAAATAAGTTGACTTTCTTTGCTATCAGCTCTTACCTACAAGTCAATCTATTGCTTTCTGTATGTCCCTACGTAATTGTCCATGAATGCAAACTCAAGTGCTTCAAGTATTCAGAGATGTATAACGTTAGAAATAAAGATTATAGTAAATCAGACCTCGTGAATATGCATTTTTTGTTGCCAGTAAATCTGAGTTATCTAAATTAAAATTCAAAACTATATACTGCAGAGGAAGTGTTCTTTTTAAGAGTTGGAAAACATTTGCTGTAGTCTTCCTGCCATCGTTATGCACATAATAATCATCTGAAGCAAATGATACTTCTTTTTATGCTGCTTGTTTTAACTAGCTGTTATTTCTTATGTTGCTTTTAAAAATGGAGATATCTTAAAAAGCAGTGGGCTGTGGAATGGATTGCAAGCTACTGGCCGCAGGTGAAAGTACTGACCTGTTTTTGCTGTCAGGGTCCTGAGAGCACCAGTAGGTGTAGGGACCCTGCCAGCCCCAGCTGGAACTGCTGCCCTCTGCTCCAGGAGCCACACCAGAGCTCAGCACTGCAGTGGCAGAGGGACTGTGACCAGCCTTCCTCTCTCTTTTTTTTTTTTTTTTTTAACGTTTTAAGAAAAATATTAAAAATTGAAGTGCTTTGTTACTTACATATTAATTATATTGTATATTTTATGAGAGCTGCTCTGAAAGCTATGCCTGCTGTTTTACTGTGTTGGCCCATGACATCACAGGTGGGTGGGTGTTGGTGGGATGGCAGTAGAGGCTGAATCTTCCCACCAATATTCCATTACATGTCGTTGTTATGTGACAGATGGCAGCAGAGGGGCAGTCTGACACAATGGTGTGTGACGTGGGAGTGTGTGTGGAGCAAAGGTGTGCCATTAAATTCCATCATGTGGAAAAAATGACTCCCACTGGCATTCATGGATGCTTGCTGAATGTTTATGGAGATGAGCACAGTGAGGCTGTGGGTCACTTCTGCTAGTGAAGATGTTTATGAGTGCGGCATGCAGGCTCCTCTTCATCACTGGTGGAAATGCACAGCTAATGGTGGTGAGTGTACTGAAAAATAGTGCTTTGTAGCTCAGAATTTGCTCTATCAAATAGTGTTACTGTGCTTGTCTTATTTACTGTAATATTTCGATGGAAATAGGAGGCATTACTTTTGGAGCAGCATACCCATATGTGGCCCAAGACAATTCCTCTTTATTCAGTATGGCCCAGGCAAGACAAAAAGTTGGACACCCCGCTTCTACTGCATTACTGTTGTGACATACACAGTTTCACCTGTATGTTAATCTTTATGGAATGTTTTTAAAAACAACTTCTATACTTGCCCAAATTGATTGGGTTTCCTTTCTTGTGAGCCATCCTGGACAAAATCAGGAGTTTTCAATAAACAGCCAGAGAACAGAGCCTGTAGGTGAGTCCTTTGGAGTCTATCAACCTGTCACTATTGCCTAGAGATATTTCTGCTGTAGTAGAGATACGATTGCTTTGTGATGCTTTGCAGGTAGTAGCTTACCTGAGCAAAATAGGAAGCACTCCAAAATTGCTGTCTTAGAGGAATGTCTGTATGCAGATCTGAGTCCTTGGGAGTAGGAAATGCTGTTTTCTTTTATTCTTGGTGGAAATAGGGTTGTGTATATAGGTAGCATCAACCTCTTCCCAGGAGAATTACTGAAGTAATTCTCAGTGCTGGCTTTTCATGTTTTACCATATGATGTTTCGTATCTATGTAGTCAGAATTAAGATAAAGCTTCTTGGAGCTATTCATTTTTTTCCTGAAATTCCATTAAACAAA